GGTGTCCCCCTCGGCTCTGCTGCCCCCTCCCCGAGTCTGAACAGATGATCCTGGTCATCCTTTATTGTTTCACACACAGAGTTTGAACAGCTGATCCTGGATGGGGAAAACCTTCCTTCTCTGGTCTGTGTGATAACAGGTACCGCCTGGGACCATCCGTGTTCCGTATGAAGTGGGGTTAGTGGAGCGGGTGGAAGGCCCCTGCCTTTATCATGAGGACTGCCTTCCCCACGTCAGGCACACGATGTTCCTTGTCTCGTTGTTCCTCACCACCACTCTCTGATGTAGGGTTTTCTACACCAGCTTGACAGGGGGAGAACCTGAGGCTCAGAGGGGCCTCATGCAGGGCATGGAGTCGAGTTGGATCTCTTAGAGCATGACCTCAGGGATCCTGGCACTTTCCACTTTGGCAGTGATTCCCAGGCACATCTTTCTTTTTTTTTTTTCAAAGAGTGTATTGTCCCATGTAAACTGCTTCCAGAGTAGGCCAGTGGAGCGAAGCAGAGTATGGCTGGAGGAGGAGGGTCCTGGGTCAGCTGCCCCACCTTGCACATTGGGCCTTGTGGCTCCTGGGGGCAGCAGGGGCCCACTGCACATGGCAGGGCACAGGGCGGCACATGTGAGCAGCTGTATCAGGTCGGTACTCTGGTGCCTGGCCGGTTTATCCTGACCACCTCCCCAGCAGAGGGCCCGCAGGGCACAGGTTCCTGGGGGGCAGGGCTGTGGACTCAGTAGTCAGGGCTCACACCCCTGGGGGTGGACCTTCTGCTCATGCCCAAGCAGGGGCTTGGCAGGCCTGGGGTTAGGATGGGGCCAGAGATGGGCCCGGTGCAGTGACTTGTATTTTCTGTGCAAGGCAAAGGTCCTCTGAAGGAGTATTACAGCCGTCTTATCGACCAAAAGTGTTTCCAGCACATCCAGGTCTGTACGCCGTGGCTGGAGGCCGAGGACTACCCCCTGCTCCTAGGTAATGGCGTCCAGCGGGAGGCCTGCAGCGAGAGGGCTGAGATTGAAAAGGGATCCTGGGGCAGGGGACAGTTTTTCTGAAAGAGGCCAGGTAGTAAATATTTTACCAGCCTGCCTCATAGTCTTTGTTTTCACAGCCCTTTAAAAATTAAAAGCCATTCTTAGCTCAAGGGCCATGCATATTCAGGCCTCAGCCCTACCTTGGGCCCTGCTCTGGGGGCATCCGGGGCAGGGAGATGCACCTGCCAGGAACCTGTGGGAGGAGCTCTTGGATGAACTGCAGGCGATGAGGCTGATTCCTGGTGGGCCCAGGAGCTGTTCACCCAGGGATTCTGAGAGGGTTACATCTGTTTGGCCTGACGCACTCCGTTTAGTCTTGCTTTGCTCTTCCACACATCTGGGCAGAAGGGCTAGGTGTTGGGTTGTGGCCCCTTCCCTGAGTCTGGGAGGGCAGTGTCTGGGGAGGTGCAGGGATGATGCACAGACAGTGCTGACCCTCCCAGCAAGAAGCCTCCGCCCTCCTCCTCCCACCTTCATTACTCTGGGGAGGGGAGTGCCGGCTGGCTGCGCTGTGCCTCTAGGGCCTCACCTTCCAGCAGCCGGAGCCCTTGGTAGGCAGAACTTTCCCACCAGTGTTTAGTGATGTGAGGTTGTTTATTTGGCTTTACTTTTACAGTGACAGCTGGTTCTCTCTCTTGGGTCTGCTGTGGGTTCTTTTTCTAACAAAATGTTCTATTTTAACCATTTTTCAATTTTTAAGTGTGTATCCAGCTCAGTGGCATTAGCTGCATTCACAGTGTGCAATCATCATTATTTCCAAAACATTTTCATCACCCCATGCAGAAATTTTGAACCCATTAAGCAGTAACTGCTATCTTTTAAAATACATTGTGGTTAAGTAGAAAAGAGCAATTAGTTTAAATAAAAGTACTAGTGTCAGGCAGGTAGATTTCAGATAGGGCTGAATGGCCAGGAATGACAGTTGGGAAGCGCCTCCGTGCCCCCACCCTGTGCCAGGCTGCTTGGCCAACTCCAGCCAGTTGTGGGGCTAGGGGCGCAGTTATCCATTTTGCGCTCCCCACCAAAGGTATTGATCCAGTTCTTTGGGGATTTGTGTGCACAGGGAGCATGGCCAGCGCTCTGACGGCCCCTTGCTCTCACCCCGCAGGGTCGGCGGACCTGGGTGTGTGCCTGCACAAATCCTCCAGTGGCCTGGACCTGCCCATGAAGGTGGTGGACATGTTCGGGTGCTGCCTGCCTGTGTGTGCCCTGGACTTCCAGTGGTAGGAGCAGAACCGAATCTTCTGGGAGTTAGGTTCTCATTCAGCATCTGGGCATGGGCGGTGGCGGGTGGGATCAGTGCAGTCAGGATTGCTCCAGGAATGTCGCTGCCTCCCCATCCGTGCCACACGGCCAGGTGGCTCTAGACATTCGGAGCTTTTGTGGTTTTTGGGGCTGGGCTGTGCCCCACTGAGGAGCTGGCTTCCACAGAGCTCATGCTGAACAGAAAGTAGTGTCTTAATACTCTGCTCAAGGGGGCTTGTGTTCACAGGGTAGACTGGTGCCTGGCCCTGCCTGCACAATGTACATGGCTTTTATTTTCCTCTGTCCCTGTTGTCTGATCTTATATGGTCTATTCAAATCAGTTAAATGAGCCTAATTCCCTGTCTCCACTCTTCCTGGCAAAGCTGGGCATTGGAGAGGGTGGTGTTAGAAGAGGCCCTAGAAACAGTGGCCCCGCCGGGTGCTTACAGCCGGCCTCTGAATGGGACACACAGGATATCAGACCTGAGCTCTGGGCACATAGGGATCAACCTCCACTGGTTATCCAGCCTCACGTGCTGAGCCTACCTCAGGGCGGTTGCCTTTTACTTCATTTCTCTGCTGTGGAATTCAGACAGAAATGCAGAACTCACTGAGTATATTCTTACAAGAGTGTGTAGCAGAAAAGGTCCAAATCCTTTTACTGCCTCTCCTTTCCAGAATAGGTTTGGATTTTTAGTGTGTATCCATCCAGTTTTTTTTTTATTCACATACCAAATTTAAGAACAGATTGACTGAAACAGGACCGACTGTTCCTGGCCCTCACTTAGCCTGTGGGTGGTGGGGAAGGGTGCAGATCTGGGTGGGCACACGGATTCTGTTTTCTTCTCCAGGCAGCTCTTAGGCCTCCCTCTGTTCTTCCTCCGCAGCTTACACGAACTCGTGAAACACGAGGAAAATGGCCTGGTCTTTGAGGACTCGGAGGAACTGGCGGCTCAGCTGCAGGTAGCCATGTCCAGGCAAGGGCTCCGAGGGTTTGGGGCCTGGCACCATGCCATGCTCCCTGATGTCTGCTCCTGCAGGGGGGCAGATCTCTGCAGGCCTGGGTGAAAAGCTGAGGGAGGGTGCAGTGGTCAGAGGCTGGGCCTCCATGGATTTGGGGGAATTAGGGCTCGCCCCACCTGCCCTCTAGGTTTATGGGCTTACACCACACAGAGGGTGCCAGAGCCAGGCGGATCCTGTGTGCTATTTGGGGAGTGATTGGATCCAGGAATGGAGAGTGAGAAGTGAAGAGCTTCCTGGACTAGCCTTGTGAGATGGGTGGGAGTCTTTAAAGGATACTTATTTTTTTATGACGAAAAGTAATACATCATTGGTCTTGACAGTTCAGACCAACAGGTGGCAAAAGTTTCTGGAAAGGCCAAGACAGAAAATATTTTAGGCTTCACCATCGTCTCTGTGAGAACTACTCATTTCTGTTATGGCGTGAAAGCAGCCACAGACAATCTGTGAACAAAGGGGCATGGCTGTGTTCCAATAAAACTTTATTTACAAAGACAGGGGCAGGGCTGCTGCATTTGGCCCACAGCTGTTTGCAGATACCTGATTTAGTTTAGCAAAGAGGTAAAAGATACAGGCTGGATGGTGCTGGGCAGAGGCGAGGGGCAGGTGCTCCTGTTGGAAGGAACAGCCCTGCAGAGACGCGCTGTGTGGGGAACACTGCAGCTTGGCCGTGCTGTCGAGCGGGAGTGGGTAGGAGACCTAGCCTGCCTGGGGCCTGAGGGCTCTCCCATGCCCGGTGAGGGAGGGGGTCGCCGGGTCGGTCATAACACAGTTTGAGGAGCGTTTGAGGTCCGTTAGTTGGCCAGACAGCGTGGAGGCTGGGCCAGAGCAGGGACGCCTGCTGGGGGCTCCGGGAACTGGCGGGGGTCCCTGAAGTGCCGTGATGGAGGGTTTCAGTGGGAACGCTGGCCTGGCTGCCTGTGTCTGGGGTGGGAAGTGGGAAGCGGTGATGAGGTAAGTTCTGGTCTTTGTTTCTTTTAGATGCTTTTCTCAAAGTTTCCTGATCCTGCTGGCAAACTAAACCAGTTCCGGAAGAACCTCCAGGAGTCCGAGCAGCTCCGCTGGGACGAGAGCTGGAAACAGACGGTGCTCCCCTTGGTTATGGACATGTGACCCCCTTTGGCCAAAGACTGAAACCCCCTAAGCGTGTCCTTGTGCTGGACGTTATGCCGAGAGAGACCCTCACGCTGACGTCCACCCCTCCCTGCTCTTCTGGCTGCTGCCCAGTCCCTGGGCAGACGCTGTAGAGCAGCGCCCCCCAGTGGACAGCAGCTGACAGGAGCGCCTGCAGAATGAAGGTACTTTTTAAAGTAACTTCAGGAGTTTGTGGCCCAGGAAACTGGTTCAGCCTGGTTACATCTTTGGAGGCTCTGAATCACCTCTTTTCTTCTGTTGTGTGAGGGCCCCTCTCCTGCCCTCCAGTGTGTTACTCTACTGTTCCTTGCTTGTGGCGTCTTTAACATTTCTTTGTCCCTGTCTTTGTCTCCCGGTGTCTGCCTTCCCTAGCATCTGCCCTGTTGGGTCCTTATTATTTTGATTCTTGCCTTGAATCACAAGGCTGCACTGGGAGAGCATGAAGACCTGCACAATAGGCTTGGCTTCCGGAGGGACATGTGTCCAGGCTGGGGGAAATCATACTCGGTACATTTTTATTCCACATTTTCCTTCCTGATTTATGGGATTTGCTTGAACTACTGGCAGAAAGCACATACTTGAACAGCTTATATTTTATTAGAACACAGTTTGTGGTTCCTGATTCTGAATTAATAAATTAAGTCATTCAAGTCCAGTGAAGGTTTTATCGGCTTTCTCACATAAAAATTCTTTCCAGGATAGTGATTTAATTTTCCCTTTAATCTTCAAAAATGTAGACTTACAGCATCAGTTTCAGAATGGCCATTTCCGAGCGCTCCTCACAGGAGAACAGTTTCTGGTCATGCTGCGGCACTTTTTCCCATGGGATCCCGGCCCGGCCTGGAAGCAGAGCACACGCATCTCAGGGTGGTGGGGCTCGGGGCTAGGAGGCCACCCTATCAGCGAGGGTGCAGGACGGACCTGGGGGTGCATAAATGATGGTTCCAGGCCCCATCCAGACACTCAGAACCAGCCTCCAGGGGTGGGACAAGTTTTTAAGCAGCTCGTGGCAGGTTTGCCATCTCTACCCACCGGGCCATGCCCGGGCCTGGCAGTCACAGGCCCGTCTGGGTCCCTGTCACTTTGCACTGGTCCCCCTCCCCATCACCAGGTACAGCTTAGGAGGAGCCAAGACTTGAGCCATTTCTGCCTGAGCCTCCAGCCTGGCACCTCTTCACAAAGGCTGGACACGGGTCAGAAGGGACTCATTCAGGTCTGAAGAGCGCTTGGCAAGGACCATTGTCATCACAGGTTTTTATGAATGAGACATTAACATTCATAAAAATGAAGTGTTAGACATATAAGTGTAGAAGTGTTTATAATTCTGCCATCCAACTATAATAACTGTTCGTATATATTCTTCCAGATTTTCTCCCTTATGTATAGTAATATGAAGATGATGATTTTTAAAAATAAAATGGGCTTAAACTATGCTGTGTGGCACATTGCTTTCTTCCTTTAAATTGTAGTGTGGGTATTTTCAGTGTCTGAAGGATCTTTTTCAAGGCTGCATAGCACTCTCTGTCAGTGGGACACAGCACATGTGGCGGGCATTTGGATTTTGTCTGTGCGTCAGCAGAGGATGCTGTGGGTGGGGCTTTGGGGGAGGGCTGGGGCACACAGGTGCCACACTGCTGCCAGGTTGCGTGCGGAAAGCCCTGGTTGGCCCTGGCATGTGCTGGGGACTGCAGGGTGGTGGTGCAGGGCACCTGGCTCCAGTTGGTCATGCGGCGCCCCCTGCACCCCGGTATTTCACTGCATAAACTACCCCCGCTCCCTGCCAAAGCACCTGCGCCGCTGCACATTGGTCTGGGGCTTTCTGGTTTATCTCCAGGTCCTGGTTTCTTTCCTGATCTCTGCCTCACTGGAGTCCGGTGTAGGGCCAGCACAATGGCTCTGCAGGCCTGGGTGGCCTCGCAGCAGCCCGTCCCAGGGCTCAGGACTCACCCAGCTCTGTGGTGAACAGCTGGCACGTCTCCGGGTTGCGGACAGTGAAGGCAATGTAGGCGTCAGGTGCCCGCTGGTCCTTCTGGCAAGCTGAGAGCCTGTGCAGGACCCCGACCAGGGACAGGATCGTCTCCGGACAATACAGCACATCTGCAACGAAAGCCTCAGGCTGCTGGGAGGATGCCATACAGGATTCTGACCCCAGCATGGGGTGCTGGGCCTGCAGACCTCAGCCCAGGCTGAGGCCTGGAGACAGCAGTTCCATTAGTTTTGTGCTACTGGATGGGAAGAAGGTGAGGGGTCACAAAGGAAAACCCTTGGAAGAAAAGCTGCTGAAAGACATGGCAACAAATGAAAAGTACCCAGGACTCACTGGTGTTCTTTTAAAAACAAATCAATTATTTGCCTGAGGCCTATTTAGAAGGCCCTTAATGAAGCAAAGCTGTCTCTGCCTCCGACTTCCTGTTTTCGGGGGCCTGCAGCTTTGTCAGCTGCAAGTGGGGGGACATGCTCAGTCCCACCCCTCAGCTGGGCTTGCAGGGAGCGAGGTGAGGGCCACTCAGGCTCTGCGTTCTGGCTGCTGTGGACCCGAGACACAGCATGACCAGCTTACAGAGGGACTGGGTGAACTTGGCAAGGGGCAAGGGGCCTTTTGGTGGCCATGCTAAACACCACTTCTCTCAAGGACCCCATCTTTGTACCAGAAATGGGTGGTCCTCTCCTTGTGGGGCTCATCTCTGAAAGACACTGGGGCAGGCAGGCAGAGCCCTCGGGCTCAGAGACGCAGACAGGTGGTGACAACACAGAAGTGCGTGGAGCAGACAGGAGGAGGGTTGGCAGCGGTGGGGGCACTCAGAGCTCATTCCCTGACCGGGCGCCACTGTAATCGGACCTGTGACACGTGGAGGAATCAGACAGTCCCGGGCCATTTTTGCCCTGCATCTGCCGACTGGGGGGCGGCAGACGTGCAGGTGGGGCTGGTGTTTGGCTCCCCTCCTTCATGGGGCTGCCCTGCCCATTTCATTTCGGGTTTGGGGGAGGGACATGATAGTCTTGTCCATTCAGCTGCAGCCTGGCTAAGAGGTCAGACTGGTTTAGTGCCCTGAGGCCTGTTCTGCTCATCTCAGGCTTTGCTGAGAAAAGGTGGGTTTATTTATGACAGAACCGTTATAACAGAAGCACGTATGGCCACTGACTCAAACAGGAGGGCTGTGGCTTTAAGGCACCCAAGAGGCGTCACCCTGGGGGCCCACAATGACCTTTCTGGAAGTCCTGTCACTCCCTGCTCTATCCAGGCAACGTCCACTGTTCCCTGCCCAGAACTGGGAGCTGGATGGAGCTACAGGGAAGCCACTCACTCCAGTGACCTGGGCTGGGCATACCTGCTGCGATGACAATGTCTGGCTGGAAGGCAGCGAGCTGAGGGGCTGTCACGATGTCCCAGTCCAGCTGGGCCACCATCAGCCTGGGACTCTCTGAGTCTCTGGTGTTGTGTCCTGGGTGCTGCGCAGCGGCAGTGGCACCTGGCTCCAACGAGAGACCATTGAGAAGGATATTCCCTCGGAGCTGCTCAAGGACACGGCTGTGACAGTCACTGAAGACGTATGCTCTGGGACAGCACATTTTGCAAATGACCAGGCCCGTGAGGCCGGCTCCACTGCCAAGCTCTAAGACAGTCCTGGGTCAGAGAAGAGGACGCGTGTCTGCTACTGTATCAGGGCAAACCCGCCTTGGTGACCTGCCCTGCAACACGAGGTCACCTGTGAGTGAAGGCCAGCGGGTTCTCTATTGCCCATTCTGCAAGATAGAGTGCGGCGTTCCATGTGACCAGGCCAGTGGTGCCATGGGAAATGATGGCCGTGCTCTCAGAGAGCGTGACCGAGTCTCCAGAAGGCTGGACCGAGACAGGAGAAGAGAATTAATCCAGTCACCAGGAGATAAGGAGCTGGTGTTAAAAAGAAAAAAAAAAAAAAAATCACAGAATATATAAAAGACTCAAGGAGAGAAAATAGCACATTCTGAACTTCAATGAGGACATGATTTGCAATGAGTTGTAACCCCTTCTGGGGATGAAAGGGAACCAATTCACTGTGTTGCAAAGTGAAGAATCAAGCCTCTACTTGCCTTTCCTCTAGGAGCTGTACCAGTGGGTAACCAGATAGCAGGTGAGGGGAGCCACCTCTTTATAAAATTACTCCAGCCAATGAATGAAAACCAGATGACAGAGCCCGAAAATTACCCTTCTGCACTCCCCAACTAATGAATGAACCTAAGCTTTGAGCACCTGTTAGTGCTACAATTAAGAGGGAAAAACAGAGACGATGTGTCTCCTAGAACCCCACGTTGTGTTCTTGCCAAAGGGCCAAATGGACATGAATCTGAGCAGGCCTCTGAATCCAGCCACCAATTTGCGGGAAACAGGAGAGAAGAGCACACCGAATAGCGCCATATGTACGCAACCAAATCTAGCCTCTGCAAAGCTCTCTGGGCCAAACCACCAGGGCTGTTCAACAGAGGTACTGCTGGGAAAAGAGAGAGAGAGAGGGAGGCTTCAAGTCAGATCTAGTCAACGACTAATGCTGGTGTCTACAGAGGTGCACCCAGAAGTGAGAAAAGCACAGGGATTATACTTAGAGGCAGATGGTAGTTACTTTTCAGGGAGGGAGGGCTGGCTCGTGAATGGGTCGGATGGAGGGGCCTCGTGGAAAGGCTGCCAAAGTTCTGTCCTTTGACTGGAGTGGCAGTTACCACAGTGGCCACCTTGCAACAATTTGGTAAGCTGTACATTTATTTTGTATATTTTTCTGTACCTGTGTTTTACAATAAAAGGTCAAAAACAAACAAATACAACCCAAGGTCCTTCTGGCTTTGTGTGCAGAATGGATTTCTGTGGGCCAAGAAGCTGGAAGACCAGTCAGAAGGCTGAGACTGCTAACCTGTAACAACTATCCATCCATCAAGCATTTATGGAGGACCGAGCATCAGGTCCCTGCTGGGCAGTTACTGTGCCCCGCTCAGTTTAACCTCGGGTCCCCCCATAAGACAGGCATGACTATGTGTTGAAGTGCTTGGTTTACTGATGAGGAAACCGAGGCTCACGGAGGTTACCTGACCTCACCTAAGAGCTGATGAGTCAGGACTTGGACCCACATGAGGCTGCCTGGAGCCTGAGTCCTGGTGTGGAGGCAGGCATCTGGCCTGTGGGGGTGGGGGGCACGTGTCCCCTACCAGTAGATAGCTCCGGTAGCACTGGGGGTGCTCCTTGGCTGTCAGGACCTCCGCCAACGCCTCATACAGCTGGTCCAAGGGCTCCTCATGGACAGCCTCGTGCTGGGGGCAGGCAGAGGGACAGTGTCAGACAAGAGCATTAAGTGAATTGTGAATCAAAGGTTCCATGTTTGCTCTGACTTGTAAAAATGGCTGGAGGGCTTTCACCAGATTTGGAGGGGAGATTTGGGATGGAATGATCTATCATAGGCCACCTGGCATATAAAAATTTCATTTGGTGGGGGGATCTGGGGAGTATCTCGGAGAGGTGTAGAGAGGGTGGGGTCAAGCGTATAGTGTAGGGCAGTGGAAATGGTCACATGAGTCAACAGACAGCCTGTCCTTCTACCATGATGTCATGGATGGAGTAACCCAGTGGAGCTTTTAAGTGTACCCTGGCAAAGCCACAAGTCAGGCACCCCACACTGAAGGGAGTGGCTTCATCACTGGGCAGCTCCCGTCTTGTGCCCCATGGCAGCAGGGTGGCCATCCCTCTCCTGGGGTGCTGGGGAGACCTGCTGGCCACCACTAGATGCACCATGTTGGTGACAGCGGGGTGGGAGGTAAGAGAGAGGCCGGACTGCTCCGTGCGCTGGCCTGTTCGGGAACACGGCCCTCGTGTCCGGTGGCCCACCGCAGCGGGTCTGTGGCAGAGCACAGAGGAACGGCTTCCCTGAGCTGGTGTGAGACCCAACAGGTGTGGGCTTACGCTTAAAATCCATCCTGTATCAGTCAGGAGAAGAGCCCACACCAGGTGGGTCACTGGGGAGAAGGTAATAAAGGGAACACGCTACAAAGGTACTGAAAGCCCTAAAACTTGCAACAGGGAACCGTGCGGCAATTCAGAGATTGGTAACAGCAGGAAGCTGTCAAAGCCCCTCCAGAAAGACAGAGGTGGGCTCTCTGTGCTCACAGGCCGCCTGGTAGGAATGAGAACCTGCACTGGGGGGAGCTGGGACCACAGAGGAGAGGCAGCCACGATGGAGACCCCTTGGAGCAGAGAGAAATCCCCTGGCCTCTCCCTTCCTCCTGTCCTCCGTGGCCTCTCACTGGAACCCAGCTGGGAGCATTGCCCAGGGAGCCCCTGGACATATGGGGGTTTGCAGAGCAGGTAAAGGGCACTGAATTGCGCTCAGCTCCAAAAAGCAAAGCCAGGCAGATGGGCCACTTTTGGAGACCCAGTCATTGGCTGGCTGCACACAGACAATGCCCGTTACTGACCTTTTTGATGAGCTCTGAGAGAAAGCCCTGGGCATACTTCACTGATGGTGGGCGATTCACGCACAGAGGATGCTTCACAGTCTGTGACAAAGGACACAGTGTGGGTTGCTGGACAGACCCCTACCCATGAGCTTCAGGTGGATAGAGGGCAAACTCCGGTTACTCAATCCCTTAGGAAAGGCACGTACAGACACGAGTGTTCTGGCCCCAGAGGCCTTCCTGCATCTCAGAGTCTTAAGATACAAGCTCTTTCCTAAAAAAATGTCTCCGCTACAGCAGCACAGACTGTGGCAGTATTTCTAATGTGCATTCTGGGCAGAAACATGGGGCATTATGTGCTCAAGCTAACACCCTGCTATAGGCTGAATGTTTGTATCATCCCAAATTGGAATGTTGAAGCCTAACCCCCAGAACCGTGGTAGTTGGAGGCGGGGCCTTTGGGATGTGATGGGTCATGAGGTGGAGCCTCATGAGTGAAATCACTGACATTATAAAAGAGGCCCGAGAGAGCCCCTTGCTCTTTCCACCACATGAGGACACAGTGAGAAGACAGCTGTCTGTGAACCAGGAAGCGGGCCCTCATCAGACCCTAAATCTGCTGGCACCTTGATCTTGGACACCCCAGACTCTAGAACTGAGAGAAATAAATTCCTGTTGTCTATAAGCCGCCCAGTCTATGATATTTGTTATAGCAGCCAGGATGGACTAAGACGCACCCCTTCCCAGGGCAGCCAGCACGAACAAAGGTTTGCAGTGAGGACAACCGTGGGACTGTCTGGCTTCCTGGGAGAGAGCCCAGATGCTGGGAACAAGGCCGAGGCCTGGCACCTGTCCTGGAGCTCACACCCCATGTCGAGGAGTGGGCAGGAGCCAGACTGTGATGAGTGGGGTGATGGCCATGATGGGGGACAGTGGGGGCCCTGCCTGGGAGGCAGTGAAGGTGGAAGGGGCTCTCCGGGGCAACCCTTCAGCTGAAAGCCAGAGAAGCAAACAGCAGGGGAGAGATCTCAGGCAGAGGGGGTAGCTTCTGCAGGCTCCCAGGCAGCCACGGCCTGGCATTTGGGGAAGGGCCTGGCAAGAGGGGCAGTGAGAGGAGGGGCTGGGTCATATGGGGCCTACTGGCTGAAGGGACATGATTTTACCCGAGGGCAACAGATACCCACACCATCCTCAAGGCTTTCTGAAAAAGAGCAGGCTGCAAGACATCGACCTCGGAGATCTCTGAGTTCACATCCCCACGGGCTGGAGGGCCCTGGACGCCTTCCCTAGCTACGGCTGCATCTTCTCCATGTGGTGGTCAGATGGACAATCTTGGTCACCTCCACACAGCAATTCTTAGCCTGGGCTTGGTGGTGGGAGGAAGGTCTGAAAATCCCCTGAATTTGCACACAAAATGTATTCTTCTGGTGCATTTTTTTCTGGGGTGGGAGTCCATAGCTTTGGGTGTTCAGATGGGTTCATGACTCTGAAGAGGGTTGAGAGCCCAGATACAGACTTATGTGCACTCAATCCACATGGCCAGGCTCAGGGCCGGGCCAGGCCACACGAAGTGCCAACAGATGCACCTTAGAGTCCACACCCCACCTCTGCAAAGGAGGGGACATCTATGTCTAGAAGACACGAGTGTCTTCTTATTTTTCCCTTAAATGTGAAGAAATTCTCTGAGTGGCTACCAAATGCTAGATGTTCCCACAGCTGTTATCTTGCTTTTAAAAATCTTCCCCCAGATTTCCTCCCCTCATGCAGATTTCTGTGTATTCTGACGTCTTCATCTAAGAAAACGAAAGAGCTGGAGCTGAGATGCTGTCATCCAAACATAGCACCTTTCCTTTTAAAGGATACGAGTGCCTGCACTGCGCTTTTGTCATGTCTTGATGTGCAGTCAGGAGGCTAGTGACGCGCCCCACTGACTCTGTGATCCTTACCTTCTGCAAAATATTCAGCAGTAGCTCAGAACCTGATGAGTCCCTTAATTTCTCTTCCAGGATCTATTCAGAGAGGGTGGGCAGAACAGAGAGAAATCTCAAGGGCATTTTCGCAGCACCATTAAACATGCAATAGGACATGTTGGCAAAGGGCTGAGTGATCATGCCCCGGGGACCTGGGGCAACGGGAAGTGGAAGCTACAGGCGGTTGGAAGCCTGAACTTGAGAAATGCCTGCTTACATCTGGATGAGTTGGAGGAAGAATGCCAGAAGACAGACTGTTGGTTGCATTAGCCCCGGTTACTTGGCCTCCCCTGGGTTGCACAGCAGCTCCACGGCTGAACTGGTCAGCCAGCAATTATGGGGGAAGCCACAGCATCCGGGCCTGACGGGCTTGGCCTGGACTTGACATCAGAGCTAGAATGGACATGAGAACGTACAGATGCCAGGCCTGGTTAGGCAGCCCTTGCCTATAGGGGAACTCCAGCCTCGCAGTGCACTCAGGCTCCAGAAGCAGGCGGACCATCCCACCTAGTGTGTGACACCTGACAAATAATTTCTCCATAGCAACTTATCATGCTCTAAAAGGCCTATACAACCTGGCCCTGGTCCTCCTCTCTGACCTCATCTGCCTCTCCCTGTCCCGTCCCTGCTACTCCACCCCAGCCACACCGGCCTCTTTGCTGTTCCTTAGCTGCAGCAGCTTGTTCTCACTGGCAGGGTGAGAACCACTCCTGGCTGCTTCACTGTACAGGTCCCGGCTCAGGCGTCACCTTTTCAGGGAGGTCTTCCTAACTCGTTTGATAATGTATTTCTTTCTTTTGTTGACTTTACAGCCACTGTCATCTCTTGGTATTTTCTTGCTTATTCATTTACCTGTTTATTCTCCAGCTCTCTCATCTCAGCAGGGCCTTATCTGTAGTGTTGTTGATCCCTGGAGCCTGGCTCATGGAAGCCATTCACAACCATTCAGTGACAGAATAAAAATACTAGCTAACACTTACTATGAGTCAGGCACTGTCTCAGGTGCCTCATACTCATGCAATCCTGACAACAGCTCCAGGAGGTGAGTATCATTATATTCCCTGCTTAATAAGAAAACCACGGCACAGAGAGATGCAGTCACTTGCCCAAGGTCAGCTTGTATGTGGGTTGGGTCAGGATGCAAAACAGGCAGATTGTCTCCCAGGTCTGAGCTTTCCACTGCTGCACTCTATTTCTTTCTAATCAACTGTTTTGGTTAAATGAGAATGGTAGTGAGAGGCGGAGGAGAACGTCCCCTCCGCCTGGGCGAGAGGGAGCCCCGCCGCCCGCAAGCCGCCTCCTCAGGCCCAGGGGTCGCGGGCCCGGGCGGTGCCGCCCTGCCTCTCCTTGGAGAAGCGCGCTCGGGTCAAGGCGCCGGTGCAAGAGCTGGTCCCGAATGGAGGGCAGGGAGAGGTGTTGTGGGTCAGCCTAAGTGTCTACCATGGGCCTGGTACAGAGTAGGCACTCATTTCATGTAAACCATTATGGTCGATTTGAATTGGGACCCAGGGATGCTATTATGAAGGTTTTAATTTTGGGTTAAAAAAATGTACATATTACTTTCTGATGAGAAATGATCCGTCAGAATGCTCAATGGTTTATGTCAATGAAACACAAATGACTAACCACCACCCTGTAAGATGGGGCAGACTTGGGGAGGAATATATCCAAACTGAGTCATGGCAGTGAGCTCATGAATTATAAAGGATGCAGGTCATTAGAGTTGCCTATGTAGATGGCCGGTCCGCAGGGCAGGGGAGGTGAGACCTCCCAGTGTCTTCCATCAAAGGCCTAGGAGCCTCAAGCTGCCTCTGGGAGGATTCTGTCCAGTGCGGATGACGCAAAGGACACCCAGGGTTGCGGGGGTCTGTGACCAGATCAGTGGGCTCACTGCAGTGTGGTCTCCTGCTGTCAAGGACGCTATTTAAATAGGCGGCAGCAGCTGTTACCCAGTGGGTAGGATGATAACTGGCGAAAGGAAAGTAATGAATCTGATCGTGAACTGCTCAAGACCCTCAAAGCCAGAGTCAAAAGGGGAGTTGGGAGGAAATCCCGCATTGCTTGAATTCGTGGGGCCCAGCCTGCAAATGCAGCCAAGCGGGGAGGGCCCAGGGTTCGGAGGGGCTGATGGCCGAGTGCGGGGTGGGCCTCCTGCTCCCCGCGGCCAGCGCGCGGGGCCTGCGGATCCCCGCGGTCCAGGACCCCACGTGCGACTTCGCGAGGGCGCTCAGAACTTCACGTGGCGGGGAGGGCGGGTTTGGGAGCCCGGAGCCCGCTCCACCGCCTCCCGCAGCCGCTCCCCGCGTGCCCAGTTACCCACCTGCCAGGGGAAGGAGCGCAGCGAGCGAGCAGCCAGGAAGCGGCGCTCGAAATTCCGCAGCAGGCTCGCAGCCTCTGCGGTCTCCTCGGGCGCCATGGCGGGGCGGGGCCTCGGCGTTGCCCGGGAGACGGGGCCGTACGCGGAGGCCAGGGGCGGGGCTTGGGGCGGGCACGCGCTCAGAAGGCGGGCTTAGGGCGAGGGCGGGGACAGGGCGGGGCCAAGCGCTGAAGGGGCGGAGCCCACAATTTGGCGCCAGGTTCGTGCAGGGCGGGCGGCGTCGCCTCTCTGGCGGCGTCCAGTCACGCCAAGCGCCAGGTAATCATTTTCGAGGAGGTCCCTGCACCTCCTCGGGGGTCTTTTGGTGAGGCCCGCATGGGCGGACACGTCCCCTCCGCCTGGGCGAGAGGGAGCCCCGCCGCCCGCAAGCCGCCTCCTCAGGCCCAGGGGCCGCGGGCCCGGGCGGTGCCGCCCTGCCTCTCCTTGGAGAAGCGCGCTCGGGTCAAGGCGCCGGTGCAAGAGCTGGTCCCGAATGGAGGGCGGGGAGAGACGGCCGGGGGCGGCGCGGGCGGTGAGCAGGGGTCTCCCTGCGGAGGGGGCGCAAGGCGAGCTCCCCGCACCGTCGCCAGCAGCCGGAACGTTTCCAGAGACGCCCTGAGTCCGGTCAGGCGGGCCGCCCCGGCGGTCCCGACCCCGCACTGCCCAAGGCTGCGCCCTGGAAGCGCCTCTCCTGAGGGACCTCGGAGGTGGGCACAGGGAGGCAGGGAAGCGGTTCCCCCCTTTCCGTGGCGTTCTGCCTTGAGGGGAAGCAGGACAGACTGCGGGGCCCACGGGGCTGCCTGCGGAGTTTGAAGTGCGTTCAGAGTCCAGCACTTTGGCCCCAACGTCTCATGAAAGCCCGTCTGGAAGGGTCTTGAGAAGGAGCGTGTTGAACGTACCTGCAGACGGCGGACGCGGGCACAGATGCCATCTGACCGGTCCCTGCAGACCAGAGAGCATTCCCGCAGCGGTTGTCCTTCCACCAGGAAGCAGCGAGCATACAATCTGACACCAGAATTGTTAATCTTTTATTCCCCTCAACACTGTTGATTCAGACAGAGAGGGTGGACTGTGGTTATTGGGCCCGAGGTGTTGCCCCAGCCCTCCTGGTGGCAGTGCCCTTGACAGTGGGCGGGGTCCTCCAGCGGTGGCCTTAGAGCTGGGTCGGGCGCGCCGGGTCGCTCCTGCTGTTTTGGTCCTCTGTCTGCCTGTAGTTGACAATGAAAACCAATGGGAACAGGTCAGTTAAGCTCGTAAATACTGGCTTCATTAACGCACCTAGTAGCTATTAATTACCTGTCCTTTGAGGAGCAAAAGGGCATGTACAGTCAACACCAGAGTGAGTAATTCTGTATGATATTATGCTAAGATATTAATAAACCCAGGCTGGCCCAGCCTTTTCTGATGCCGTAAAAGCAGATTGGGAAGCAGTTTGGGGAAGGGCCCCGAGTGGGTCGCAGCACTGGCCCGCACACATTAGAAACCTTTATTTTTCTGTGTGGGCTCTCAGGAGGGACAAGGTTCATAAGGCTACACATCTCAGATCTGAATCTGGAAGAATCAAGGCACTGAGGGGATTTTTAAGGAACCATGGACTCACAGGTGTGGCGTGTTGAGGTGTAAGTGAAGATTAGAACTGCTGTTTAACACAGAAAGAAAAAATTCCAGGTGGTGTTGACATGGCGAGAAACATTAGGACATATCCCAGAGGTCTTGCCAGTGGCAAGAGGGGATATGTATGTGCACATGCGATATTAAAGATGCAACCTCTGGATTTGGGGGCTTTCTTTAATAATAATAATAGTAGTAATAATAAAAGTCTAATGCATTTTAACTGTATGGAATGGTTGCCTTTTAGAAATTACGCTATGGGAATGGCAGTTCAATCAGTACATAGTTTTCCTTTATCTCCCCTATAGCTAATGGTTTCTGTAGAAAAGGATCAATTGATTTCTTTCTAAAATGTTGCTTCACGGTACAGGGACCTTTATAGGTCATGCTTCAACTTATAGGAAATTTTTATAGTTCAAGTATAAATTGCGTTAAATGTAGGCTTTTTGGTGGAGTTAAGGTAAAAAAGAGTTCTGACTTTCCTTAAGCTGTTAACAGTGTTCAGGAGGTCCCTGTGCTATTGAGACAGGAACTTTATTAAAGTAGAAGAATGGACAGGGTTGGGTGTAATAAGGAATATGAAAGCCTGTTCTAATGCTATAACTATTGAGAGATTTTAGGAAGAGGTGCTCCAGGGCCATGTAATGCTTTGATTGGTGTTACGGGTTGAATTATGTCCCCCAAAAAGATACGTTGGGCGTTCTAACCCCTAGTGCCTAGGAATGTGATCTTATTTGGAAATAGTCTTTACAGGTATAATGCATTTAAGATGAGGCCATCCTGGGTTACAGAGAGCTCTAAATCCCACGACTGG